GAGTGAGTGTTTGTGTGTTAGATTTAAGTGCAACTGAAGTGAATCATAGAAAGGCTTAACTATAATGCATAATGTTTGCTGATTCATGATGCTGCATTAGAGCTGACAGTTATGTTACATCTGTGAGGATACGTGTGTGCATGTAAGCACATTCATTTGGTCTGCATGTGCTTTCCCAGGTGGAGAAACGCCTAGATCTGGTCAAGCAGGTGTCACACAGCACTCACAAAAAACTGAATGCCTGCCTGCAGGGTCAGCAGGGGACTGATATGGAGAAGAGATCTGTAAAGTCACCTTCTGTGAGTACGGGCGTCAGTCCTGCTGGCAACTGTTGACGTTTACAGAAGTGTGTGTAACGTTTTTTCTATGTACCATCAGAAAAAATTACCGCTTACCATCTTGGCACAATGCATGGAAGAAGGGGCTGCAGTGTTGGGGGAAGACTCTCTCCTGGGGTTAGTGACTACTAATACGCCTGTGCTTAACTCACACACACACACACACAGAGTCATCTTTAATTACAGATTTGGCAGCTGAATTCTTCTCTGTCCTTAATATCCTTGTGTGCATTTTAATTGTATTTGATTGCTTATGACTTTGTGCTTGGCTTTTACCAACAGAAAAATGCTGAAGCTCTGTGGGGAGACAGAGGAGAAGCTGGCCCAGGAACTCATTCAGTTTGAGTACCAGATAGAGAGAGATGTGGTGGAGCCTCTTTATGTCCTTGCAGAGGTGAGCAGAAAGTGTTATTTTAATGTCCCAGTTAAAAGTTGCATTTTGGTGTTTTTATTTCCATTGCTATTAGCAGAAAAAAAAGTATAATGAGTTGACTGTTTTCATATTAACTCCTTGGATTTTTTTTGTCAGGTGGACATTCCTAATATCCAGAAACAGAGGAAGCACTTAGCTAAACTTGTCCTGGACATGGACTCAGCACGAACAAGGTGAACAGTGTTCAAACAGGGAGGCTAAAACCTGCTGTGGTTAGTGTATTGCTAAAATAAAAACTTGGAATGTCTAAAGCAGGGGTGATTGTTTCATTTACCCACAGATATCAACAGTCATCCAAGTCATCCAGTCACCCCAGCACTCTGCAACCCGGTGCCAAGTCTGAGTCCCTAAGAGAGGAGATGGAGGAGACAGCCAATCGGATGGAGATTTGCAGAGTGAGTCAACGATCAGAGCTACGTGTATATCATGCCTTCCCCCAGCTACTTTTGCTCTCCTCTTTGATTTATAACACTTGCACATGAATCAGACACAAATGGGCCACAGTCATGGAATGATATTGAAGTTCTATCTATGACGTTAGTGAGATATTTTCTTTAAGACAATTTTTCTTTTTCAGGATCAGTTGTCAGCAGATATGTACAATTTCATGGCCAAAGAAATAGACTATGCAAACTACTTCCAGACGGTAAGTCAAATATGTCATCACATTGGCAAATTGTTTTGTTTTTTGTCTTTGGTGTAAGAGTTCATTTACACCAACAACATTAAATATGGGAGCTACACAATTGCTTCATATCATGTAGGTCCCACTCATGTTGTCACTTCTAACCTGTTGGGGTATGGACAGGACATGTGGCATTAAAACTTGATATTTTGGCTCCTTTGTGATCAGGCCTTCTCTGGCACATCCTGTGGGTGCTTGACCAGATTAGGATTCTAAGAGGCTCGGTTAGGTCAACGCCTTGGTGTCTTTGTTGTGTCGCTTAAAACCATTCCCGACCGGGTTTTGTTATTTGGCGGCGAGCATTGTCCTGCTGGTTGAAGCCACTGCCTTCAGGGCGTGTCATTGGCTGAATTGGTGGGTGGGGTTGGTGCGCAGCGATGAGTACTACGTGTCAGCGAATGAATGAATAAGACGATGAGTGTTGCTGTCTTAACCTGCCGGACATTTTAACGTTGCGGCTGATAAGAATCAGATTTCTTTTGCGTTTAAGCACAAGCTGTAGTGAACACTGAAGATGACTTTAAAATCATAATCGTTTGGTGCATTATCTTATATTTTATTTTCCCCTGCTCTCCTCTGTAGCTGATAGAAACGCAGGCAGAATATCACAGGAAGTCATTAGAGATTCTTCATAGTGTCCTACCCCAGATTAAAGCTCACCAAGGTGAGTCATGCATTGTGTCAAGAGCTATGTGTGTGTGTTTGTGTTGAGATCTGCTCCATTTCTGTACCCGAAGGAATATCAAGATGATCAGTAAAGAATACACTAATAGGCCTGGCATGTTACATAACAACATAATTAAGGAACAGTTATGCACCTTGATATTTAATTAATGGTTAATTTACAATTGCTAGACAAAAGACATGATGCATAGGGTTGTTTTTATCCACGTGTGATTCTGGGCACTGTTTGGTATTGCAGAGGCGTGGGTGGAGAAGCCGTCGTATGGCAAGTCTCTGGAGGAACACCTGAGTATAAGTGGGAGAGAGATTGCCTTCCCCATCGAAGCCTGTGTCACCATGTTGCTAGAGTGCGGCATGCAAGAGGAGGTAGAAGAAACGCACATATACACGAATCACTTGTCCATAATTAACATTTAATGGAAATATTCAAAATCTGCGTTGTGTTCCTGCTCAGATGTGTTAGATATGATAATTACACATCACGTGTTTCCTGTGTGGGGGCTGTAGGGCCTCTTTAGAGTGGCTCCATCAGCCTCCAAGCTGAAGAAGCTGAAAGCGTCCCTGGACTGTGGAGTTCTTGATGTGCAGGAGTACTCCTCCGATCCACACGCCATCGCAGGTGATCTACGCCCACATAAATGCATTGTTCAAAGCACATTTCCATAACAACAATCCCAACTCTCTGTAATTGTTAGAGGCTAAATTGTAAACAGCCAATTATTTTAACTCCATGATCAAAAGTTCATTTGTAAAAAGCTGAAGTGTTTGCAGTCTTTTTTTTGGACATAATGCATTTTGCAAATGTGGTTCTTTGGAAAATGTCTTCCTCAGCGTTATCTTCCCAAGAGCTTTCTCTTCAGATATTGCTGTTCATTTCACAGATTAGCATGAAATCTGTGTTGAGCTGTCTGACTTTGGCAGATGCACTAGCTATGAGGGCCTGCTAGAGGGGAGTAGAGATATGGAGCATGGGCTCGGCAGTAGAGAGAAAACAACCCTCCACTTCTTTCAAAGAGCTGACCAGTTTTTACGCTGTCCTTGTTTTTTTAATCCCACAGGGGCCCTGAAATCATACCTTCGTGAGCTCCCAGATCCACTGATGACCACTGAACTTTATGATGAATGGATTCAAGCCTCCAAGTGAGTCGCTGTACTCTTAAGAGTATTTTCTCAAATTGTGCCATTGGCAGTGATTAAAAATAGAAACCAGTTCAGCGTGTTAGTACAGGGCCCCTAACTGTCAAAAAGAAAAATTACTTTATATTTCCTCAGCATTCAAGACATGGACAAGAGACTACAGGCGTTGATGGCAACATGTGAAAAACTCCCCACGGACAACTTAAACAATTTCAGGTCAGTTTCTTTCCCTGATTTTCTGCCCATTGATTTGCAGGATTGCACATGTTTCAGTGTAGCCTTACTATCATAGGCAAAACATTAGGAGATCAAAAACCGGGAAAGTATGTAGAAACAAAACTGGACCACATCCAAGTGAAAATCCAGGTGAAATTCTTTCAATCCTACAAATATCTACTCAACTTGTGCCACCTACAGGAAATAATATTAACAGCAGGATCAGCAACTTTAGAAGTACAAGGATCACTGACAAGAAAATTACTGTAATGTCTTTGCAGTACTCGTACCTCCTGCAGGCAATAACTCATGCAGTTTTACAGTCTTATTTACTGCGTGCAGGTGGCACGTCTAATATTGCTGCTATCATTTTTTTTTACATTATAATCAGTAAATGGTACAAGCAGACATGTCACATCTAACCAAAAACAGTGGGTTATACTTTCAAAATGCACAGTTAATTTTATCCAATCCTACAGATATTTGATCAAATTCTTAGCCAAGCTGAGTGAGTATCAGGATGCTAACAAGATGACTCCTGGTAACATGGCTATTGTCCTTGGACCAAACTTGCTCTGGACACACAATGAACCGTATGTATTCTTAAAGCAACTAATAATTTTATTCTTTGGATTTAAACCAACGATTGAGTGACTCTGCTATAGCTCACTTGTCTGCTCTATCCAGGAACATGACAGAGATGATGACGACCGTGTCCCTACAGATTGTTGGCATCATCGAGCCAATCATCCAGCATGCTGACTGGTTCTTCCCTGGAGGTGGGGATTACACACTATGTATGTAAAATTGTAACTGCGCTGGGCATCTTATCTGTTTTCTTGTTTAAATTATATCATTGTAAGTAACAATTAGGGGATTTAAGATGATAAAAAAAATTGCCCAGAACAAAAAAGTGTTTAGCTTTATTCAAATGGACATAGTTTTGCATGTCATAATCATGCAAACATCTCAAAAATCATATGGTTGCATGGCTATTCTCCCCAGCCTGATAATACAAGACAATAATAATACAAACAAACACCATACAGCAATACAGCAAACTGACTAACCCAATAAAAAACATACATAAACATACTTAACAATGGACAAGACACTATGGACCCTTAAGAAAGGTAATGCCTGTTTTTTGTCACGCTTCAGAAATAAAAGAACCACTGATGTTTCATATTTCTGTATGTTGAAGGGACTGCAAGAAACTCACTCTGGTGATATTTAAATGTATACTTTTTTTTTTTTTTTTTCATTTTTGTGGATTTGGACAGCAGCACCTGGTTGGTGTATCAACTACCATTATACATTGATTCACAGCACAGTGCAATGCTGATGTTGCAGCATGTGACTTAAATTGTAGATTAACTGTTATTGATTGGATGTTCTATGTAGACTTTCATATGCTAAAAAAAGCATTAAAATGTCATTTTAGTACTGTATTTGTTGCATAGCTTAATCTTAATTTTATTATAGTTATTTCAGTTCTTCATACTAACTGTGGTTTTTTTTTTTTGGAGTAATTGTGTGCACTCAAAACGCACACAATTCTAAACATTACTGTAAGTATAATAGACTACATGCTGATGGTGTGTCTGCTTCTGCCTCAGAGATTGAGTTCAACTTGACAGGCAGCTATGGAAGCCCAATCCACACCAACCACAACTCCAACTACAGCTCTATGCCCTCACCAGACATGGACCAATCCGATCGCAAGCAGCAGCACGATCAGAGTCGACGCCCACTGAGTGTCGCCACTGACAACATGATGCTGGAGTTTTACAAGAAAGATGGGTATGATGCCAAGTGCTCACTTCTGCTACCCACCTCTCACTCTCCTTCAGTCTCTCTCTTTCCGCCCACGCCTCTTCTCAGGCAACTGATACTGAATTCTTATATTTGAGGAGAGCAGCGTTTGCACATTAAGATCCTCCGATCTAAAGTTTTCATTCGGATGAGTCAGAAGCCTTCATAAGCAGCACAGAAATCAGTTTCTTGTTAAATATCTTATCTCACAGTAATATATACAGGTGTACCTTTAATTATCAGGATTCATCAAGAGAAGCCTGAAAACTGCCCTCATTTAAATACGTAGGGCTGAATAAGTTTGAATGGCATGGTCTCTATGGCAACAGGTTTCTGATGGAGAGCTGCTGGGTTTTTTTCTTCAAGAGGAAATATTTCTCCAATCCCATCCTCCCACACCCAACTCCTCGTTCACAGTCTGGATTGCACGTCACCTGGCGTGACTCATTCACTGAGACGGTGGAATATCACTGGAGAAATTAGAACCAACACCTTGAACAAAACACCCCAATCAAGTGAATACAAAGGATGTAACACTAAAGGCATCAATCTAAATTTGTTTAAGCAACTATTTAATGTGGGGGAGAAGCCTGAGCTTTTCTTAGACTATAAAGGTTTAATTGGAAGAAATAACCCTCTAAATGGCATTCAGCAGATTAGCACATACTGGTTATATGACCTGACTTTCTCTCTGAATCCCTTTACTGTTCCCTCTACTGTTGATCTCATCTCCCTGGCATAATCATTGCTTCATATCAAATATTAAACATTTTGTGACCCTTGTCTGCATTACTTATGACCTCATGTCACTTTTGCCTCTCTTCTCCCTTACTAACGCAGCATTAGGAAGATACAAAGGTATTGTATCATTCCTTCTTCCCACGACTTCTTTCCTTACTATCCCCACTTGCCTCACATGAGTTTTGCTGGTGTCACACATGAGTCTGTACATGTTTTTGTCTCCAGTATGGGCGTCAGGGTTATGGATACCTCCTGGGTGTCTCGTAAGGGTTCATCCACCCTGGCGCGTAAGGCTTCCTCCACTCCTCCAGGCATGCAAGGCCCCGGCTCCCCTGCAGACACACTCATCCCCGAGCAGCCCGGAGAGCTTGCCATCTCTCCGTCTGCCACACCTCCACTTGGAGAAAGGGTTTGGTAAGTCACCGTGGAGACCCTGGCCCTTGCTTCTCCATGCATCCACCCGTGTTCGTTTTTATTGTCATCACCATCATCACCATCATCTTGCACTGGTTCTTGGCCGTGTTAACCATGCTTCCATTCATATGCAATGCTTCCATCTTTTTTTTGGAGTATCTCCCTCAACATGTTCATGTCGCATTCTGTTATGAATTTGTTTTCAGGCATCACACATTCTTAGAGTTGTCCTTGTGTCTGTTTGTCAGGTCACTGTGGGTAACATTTGCCAAAAAAAAGGCCATTTCTTTTCAAATCTGAAGGATTTTAGTCCTAATACTGTATAAACAAGTTTTGTTTATCTACGTGACGCAAAGCTTCAACCTGCTAGTTGTTGCGTGCATGCTAGTCTATCCAATATCCCATTGTTGTGGCTTGGCTTTCTCAGCTTTGGTCGTGAATTAGTTATTTTTCTGTTGACACGCAGACTGATTTCACAATTTCTTTGGTATCATTATCACAATTGAACACATGAGTAATCACCTCATGGTCACTGGCTCTGCCTATGTGGCAGACAAGAAATATTATGGCTTCTGGCTTGGCTGTCTTTCTCCCCCCCACCCCCATTTCCTGTGGCTCTTTCAGCCTTTGAAAGGGTTTTGTGTCTGTTTCACACTGCCCTGGGCTGACTGCAGGACCTGCGATACAAACAAGTCATATAGGATTAAGGCGGGTAGGGCTTCCATATCCAGCAGTGAGGAGCGTTTCAGTCATCAACTCAACTTAGTATTACTGAAAGCTGCAGACCAGCACTTTGGTTCCAGAGAAGGATCCTCACAGCTCTATGCAGTGTGCAGACACAAGGTGATCACAGAGGGAGTCCAACACACTGTATCATTTTTTCTTTCACAATGAAACTTAATTTTCTTTGCTATTTCTTTGTGCTTGTCTTTGTATTTGCAATAAGCTGACTGTGTACCCACTGCCCACCGCAAGATGCAGCACTTTTTTTTGCCTACTGGTTTTGGCTTCGAACTGACTAACACACTAACACACCTTAATCATCCAAACAGCTTATCCTATATCGCTCCAGTGCGTTTCCCTGTTCAGTCAATAGAGCTGTTTCTTTTGTGCTGTCTATTCTCTTAATATCTACAGCTCAGACAACGTGTCGCTCAATCGGCCGGACACCTCTCATGCCCACCCGCCCCCAGGGGAGGACCGTCCACCCCCCCCTTACCCCACTTCTATGTGCCACACTGCGCCCCACCACTTCTATCCCAAACCCCCACCCTGCGCTCGCCCTGTGGCACCAGGTCCAGAGTCCCAGCCGCCTGGCTCACCCCCACCCCCAATGCGCTGGTCTGGCTTCACTCCCCCTGTTCCTCCCCCTTCCTCCTCTTCCTCCTCCTCCTCCTCGTCACTTGACATCAATTCGAACCCCAAACCTAGCTGTCTTCACTTCCCCAAACACAGCCCGCCTGGTGACATGTCGCATGCCCCCCCACAAGACACTAATGCTTCGCCCCTGTACGTCAAAACCCCCTTGGTACTAACCCGTCATGACCAGAGCCTTGGCAACCCCCCTAGCCTCCCTTCATCCGTGCCCCCGCCCCCGCCGTGGGCTGCCTGCCCCTGTGCCAGAGAGAGAGGACCCCCCAGGCTGACTAGGTAAATACAACACACGCCTGGCCACTATGGATGCATCACAGAGTGGCAGCTGTATTTCTCCTTTAGCTCGCTGGCTCATATTTTTTCTTTTTGCTTTTTTCTTTTTTTATTACCTCTCCCATCAAATTGCATAGCTGAGATTCTGTAACACACAGGTTGTCTCAGGATGCCTGTCAGCTGGGTTGCCTAGCAACCAAGGATGTTACTGGCTTATATAGCGCTCAGTTTGTTGCTGTTATTGAGTAGATGATAAATACACAAGGAATGGCTTCAAACTAGAATAGAAATGTATTTATTGTCAAGTCTGCTGCAGTTTTTCTACTAACCAGCACACAGTACATGAAAAACCTCTTTGTTTTTTTTGAAGAATTTTAAGGATTTATGAGATTAGCAAAATGGGAACCCTAACAGTGCAGTACCTCCAGCTGGACCCAAAGTGCTGAGTTTTACAGTTTTGCCTCTGAAGTCTTTGGTGCTACTACCAAACAGGACGGTGTGAATCATTACACCAAATCTCTGTCTGTGGTCAGAACTTGTTGTTTTAACACTTTTCCTGTGATTTGGAAAGCTGATAACCTGTGGTTCGGAAGTCTGTTTGCTGAAGATGTACAACTAAAACGAATACCATTTAATTAGACGGCAACTTTAAATGGCACTTCTATAAGTGTGTTATTTTTTGTTTGTTTGTCTGTTTTTTTCTTATTTGTGGTGGTGGTGGTGGTGATGGTGGAGGGGGTGGGGGGGTATTCAAATGGGTCATGTAAAACAAAGTTTCTTATCAGATGTAAGCAATTATTTGTTCTTGTCGTTCATGCAGTATATTTAGAGTCACTCGACTTCGGTTCATTTATGTACTCAGTTAATACTTTGTCAGTCATATCTAGTTGCATGAAGTGTCTCTCATCTATTTTGAGTGTATTGTCACTGTCCAAAGACACATTCAATCCGTATTCACACCCTGTTGTTTACTAAATCTGGCAAACGTTCTGCAAGCCCAGCTGGAATTTTTCTGTTTGTTAATCACTCATGAAAATGAATGTCACATCCCAGTAATTGAGTTTCTTAGCACATATCTAGTCAATATACTGGTATTGCTCAATTATTTTTTGAAGTGTTTGTCTTATTCTTTTCTATAGTGTAGTGGTTTACACATTTGCCAAGCAACAGAGCCATGATTCATTTTAAGAGGGAGACAGAAATCCTCCAGGGATGCATCAGGAAGCGCATCTGCTGTAAAAACTCTGCCAAATCAAATATGTAGAGCTACCTGCTGTGGCAACCCCTTGTGAATAAGGAAACACCCAGAAGTAGCTTTTGTTGCAGGGGGATTGAAAGCATCTGCATCCATATAGAATATTGTGCACCAAATTTTTGTAAATCTATTAAAAAAAATAACAAACAGGTGTTGAGATTTTGAACTGCTTTCCTTGAGATGAGAAAAATGTTGTTAACAGTGGAAGCAGCCATGTATATGATGGTGATGATGGTGTAGTGACTGTAAATGTAGACTGCGATGAGTCCAAAACACTGTTTATATGTTTATATGTTCACATACTAATATATATCCATCCTTTTCAGTTCATTGAAGAGTAAAGAGCTTTCCCCTGTAATTGGACACAAAGCCATCCAGGTCGCAGGTCCAACAGTACCCCCCAGCAGTAGCCCTCAAAGCAGCAGCCAGTCTCCCCACTCCACAGAGCACAGTCCACACACCCTGCGCAAAGGTCAGGGTCTCAGTAATATGTGCTTTCATTGACATTGACATTACAGTTTTAAACATGTCTTATTCGTATTTCCACAGGTAACTTTAATATGACTATGGTGTGTTAACAGGTTCCAAGAAGTTGGCTCCCGTGCCTCCTAAGGTCCCATACGGCCAGTCTGGAGGGATGTCTGACCAGTCCACAGGTCAGCCGTCACCAGTCAGCCTGTCCCCTACACCTCCTAGCACCCCTTCCCCTTATGGACTGGCATGTCCTCCAGGTCAAGTACCACCGTCCTCCCCTGGGCAGACCCCACTGGGTACACCCCACTCTCTTTCGTCCCCGCCTTCCCTGACGGGGACACTCACCAAGTCGCGGCCTGCCCCTAAGCCCAGGCAGAGACCCAGCCTGCCCCCTCCTCAGCCACCCATAGCCCCTCCGGGGCTAACTGGCCCACCTGTGGCCCCAGTCCCTCAGCCCATGGAGCAGGGCCTCCTGGATGGACTGTCTCCTGGGGAGAGCATGTCTACAGGTAAACATCAACCCTTGGCAACAACACCCCCACCGCCACCCCCACAGGTGGGGCTGCAGCGGCCCTCTCTCAGACTCGCTGTGGCTCTGTCCAATGGAGACGGTGGACGAGTGTAGGACTCTGTAGAACCTGTCACTGTAGACAAACCTGTCCCCTTTACTGACTGCTCCCAAACAAATGTCTGAATGAATACAAGTTGCCTTTTAGACACAGATGCCTGAGAATGATAAGAAAATGTAAATATTAGCATTTCTTGTGCTACTGTAGTAAGGAAATCTCTTGACCAATGTATTCATTGCTTGTGTTATGTGATGATGTTTCTGGGTAATGTGTGGAAACATCAGAGAAGCATAGCTCGTCCTGCTTGTATGAAAGTTGCCATTAGATTCATCATGTGCTCTCTGTTTATCTGTGTTACCCAGACCCCCACTTGGCAGAGGTAGGTCAGAGGCTTACACAGTTCACACCAGTCTAGCATCTCTTACTGGGTAGCAGGAGTGGAAACCTAGCCAGACAAACCCAACGATAAAGCTACAATATGATGTTCTCAAACTGAGGTGCTCTGTCAATATATATACACCAGTGATTTTGTCACTTTGTTATATTTATCATTCTCTTGTTCCCCCTGCTACTATTGTGTACTTTGCAGCTGTGTGAGGCCAGGGATTCAGTGTGGGCTAAGTGTGAGGGGGACTTTTAGGGTAAGCCAGACCGCCCCCGCCCCATATACTCCATCTCACTGCCTGGCCTCGTACCGTGGATGCCTCTGGGGTCTCCTGCAGCCTGCCTCAAACATACCTACCCTGTAATGCTCAATCATAATCCCCGTCCTTTTTTAGCAGGTTGGCTGTACTTTCCTTGCACTGTCTTCAACCAATAATGCACGGCTTAAGGACTTCCCAGAGTGCATCACACTGCGCTCACATTGCAGATGCCATTGCTTACAACGGTTTCATCTTAAAGCCCCTTTCCTTTTGTTCCCCATTCCCAGCCCTATGCTGGCAGACATCTCCAACGCCCCTGCCACTAGTATCAGGGGGGTCACAGGTAACCCCCACTCCTCCTTTGGCAGGTTCATCGCTTTTTATAACCTCTGCTTCCTCTTACTACACTGCCACACTCCATCTCATTCCGACACAGGAGTAGCCATCCGTCTCTGTTTGGATCTGCCGCTTCCATTAAATGGAGCAGCACGTAAGAGTATCTATATTCACAGCAAATACTAATTTCAGTCCTCTAGAGATCTCCATTCTTACTTTAAGCCCACTTGGTGTCTTGGTGCCATTTTCTTTCCAGAGAGTTCCACACACATCCTGTTGCCTCCTTGATGTTTATCTGTCCTCTGTTGTAAACATGTAATTTGTCACTGTGCAGTCATTTTGACTTGTTATTGTATTTTATCTGACAGAATATCTGTTCTTCCTGTCTCAAAAGACACAAAAGGCAGAGACTCGCTACACTAGCCTCTACCAAGTTTATTGACATAATCAGCACCACACTGTAAAATGTGAAGCACACGTAATCTACTGATTCCTTCGATCATATGCCACTTACCATGAGTTCAGACTCAAAACAATTAATATTATTTCTGCTCTCTTTCATTTTTACACTCCATTTTCATTGTCATATTGCCCTCTCCTCCTCCTCCTCCTCCTTTTCCCGGTGCTCATTATCACCATCCACACTATTCTGCTCACCATACTCACCTTTCCCATCCTCACCATTAGATATCTTCAATTATGAAATCCCCTCCATCAATGTCAATCTGGACAGCCTCATCGATGAGTTCAGCGGTGCCCCCTGCAGGAGGTCCATGGCAGTGACAGATCCAGAGGGGGATGGTGTGCCTGAGGAGGAGCCCCAGAGCACCACTCTATGACCTATCACCCATAGGCATCATTTCCAGAATCCCTATGGCTGTACATACTCTTTAACTGTCTCCGCCAAGGCCCGATGGAAACACACTGGCCGCACCATTGCCAACCAGAAAATGAACCCTCCCTCACATCTGCTACAGGCTGCAAACAAACTGAACTTTTCCAACTGCTTGCTAGTAAATTAGTGTGACTACAACTACCAAAAGAAAAAAAAAAAACACACCAAAATGCCATAGTGGAGGAACAGTTGCCTTTAGGAGGAAAGACTGGAATTTAGATGAGTATTGCATTAAAAAGATTTTTTTTTTCTAATTTCTTTTTATAGCTTTGCTTTGTCGTTTAATGCAGTGGTCTGTATTTCTGTGTTTTCAAGTTTCTTTTTGCCTTATTAGAACATGCAATCAAATTGCAATATGATATTTGCAAGTTGTACAATATTTGGTTAGGGAAACTCAGAGCCTGACATGGTTTGGAGCAAAGCCCATCCTCAGGGTGAAACGGAAACACGGAGCGAGAGCGTAGTTTGGTTTTATTGCTCACAGGGTATTCAAGCTTTGTGCACATTAGGAATATGCGGAGCCCCAGAGACAGGCTTTGCATGCCAGAGTAACATTTAACGTTGTTTTTCTTAGTGCCACTCCCCATTTTAAATTCCCCTCTTCTGTCGCAAGTACAGCTACAGTGCTCTGTCTGAAATTTACCTTTAGGTGAACTCACTTTAACTCACTTTATACCAGCACAGTAAGAGAAGAATGTTATTATGATTCAACTTTTTGTACTTCTTGCATCCATTATTTATTTAGAAAGAAAGCACCACGACGTGTTTGCATGACAAGCCAATATCGATCGACCTGCTTCTTACCAAGGGCCTGAGAATGGCAGTGGTTTATTTTGTGCGAGTGTTACTGTTGTTGTTCACACCGAAAAGTAACTTTAGTTCCCACCCCAGTGCTGTAACAGTGAGTGATAACGGATGGATGACTACACTGCCTTTAGGTTCGTATGTCTTTCTCTTTTAACTTTGTTTCAAGTGCTTCAGGTTCAGTGACCTTTGACCCCTTGTGTAAATACAAAGACTGTACATAAACTGATGTATATAAGCTGAGAGGAAAACTATATGTAAAATGCATATCTTGAATATATAATAATGATATATGTGCTGATATTTATTGTGTAGAAAATGTAATGATTAAAAATTTGATGTTATTTTTGTCCCGACACACAATGAACAGGTTTACTGTAGAGTCATAATTTTTTCACTTTAACACCAGGTAACTATGATGCTGCAGCAGAAACGCAGAATGTTTTTTTCTGCTAAAAGAAAAAAAAAAATCAAATGTGGTCTTTCTAATTCTTCCTCTTAAGCTTTGACTTCAGGCATGCTAAAGGACAAAGGAGTTGCACACAGATGCCATCTTCTCTTCTTTTTTGTTCGAGTAAATGATTTGTTTGCACGGGCCATTTAATGAATTCATAATGAGGACACATTTATCCCCTAAACTGCTGTTGTTAGTAGTAAAATTGGCACACGTTTAAATTTGAAATAATTGCCCTTTGCTGTTATTTTCAGACAATTGATGATACAAATTTATCATGTAACAGATGCTGCGGTGGTAGTATAATTTCCTTCAAAGATTCCGAGGACAATAACGTTGTCAGTTAAAGTGCAATTACAGTGTTTACTTATCCACGAGAGTCCAAAAAGTGGTCAAAGTCACCTTTCCCGAACCTGCAGAAATAAGCCATTAATTTCATTTGAAAGCCTTTTTGATTATAATTATTATTATTTTATGTGTGAATTAATCTCTGCCAAAATTAATTATGGATTATTCTCTCTCCAGAAGTAATCTACTGTATGCCTCAGTGTGTGTTCTCAATGGACTTTGTTTATGAAGATTTTAGTGATGTTGATTATATTGATAGTTGTGGTAATTGTATGACAATTGCAAGTGCCCTCACACCGGTTGTTATTTTGGAACTATAGACATAATTAATGTGTGCTAGAGGATTTAATTTTCTGTGCTGGATCCATACATTTATACAAGGAGGCAGGTTTGTTTCTGAATGTGACTGACTCAGATCTCATATAGCAGGCTACCTGATTTTGTAATACCTTACAGGACAAGTAAGAGTTAGCATTGGACAAAAGGCTGATTAGGGCCTTATGGCATGTATTGTTACCAGTACGGAGCAGCATAAATGTAACGTTTTTGTGAATCATTACTGGAACTTGGAGCCACTTAAAAGCATGCATATATAAGTGTAATTATTATGTTGCCAAACAAGGGAAAAAATCTGTACCCTTCCCCATAACACAAATCATAATTGTTTAAAAGAAATATTACGACAGTAAAGTAACAGCAGATTTCAAGTTCATATCCATCGGTTGCAACAAAGTTGCATGGGTTTATCATTTAACTTAAGTTGGCCTATATTTCCTAACTCACCTCATCATCAAGTATGTTGAAAAAGTAAAGCCCAGTTTGTTTGCATTTTTTTGTGTGTGTGCATGTGTGTGCGTGCGTGGGTGAGAGGGTGGCGTGAAAGAAAAGCAAAAAAAAAAAAAGTAAAATGTGAAAATGTGTTTCATGCATGCGCTTAGATAGTGTTTTGATAATCCATGTTTTCTGTCGATCACAATTTTCTTTATGGATTGTAAGAAGGACCATGAATAAACTCTAGGCCTGTAGATGGACTCTAGAGAATGTGGATCGTTAAGACAAATGGTCCTTTGTGGGTTTCAGAGCAATACGGTGGAGGAGTCGACGTTGTCTGTGGATGTACTGCCTCCTTCTGCTTTCACTACTAATGTACAAAAAAAACCTGCTGCTTGTCAAGCCCACCCGTCCCACCCCTTCCTCTGCTTAGCATATCAAGTGGAACACAGTGTGTACTGTGAAGCCTACCTGCAATCCTTATCAGAATGTCAGAAAGAAATATATATATTAAACTCTACATTTTTAATAATCTCACCTGGTTAACGTGGGTTTTATTTGATATGCGTCTTGTTATTTATAAAGTGAATATTTATAAAAGTTCCTTACCTACTTACAATTTTAAGGTTCCTATTCAAGTTGTAATTGCAATTTGAGACATGTCCGTGTTAGTTTTTCTGCTTTTCTAGTGCATATTTCTCTACTACATTATTCTATTAGACCCCATGCAAAATTTTACAAATGACAGAAACATCTTTATTTCAGTAACAGCACATAAGAAAAAGCTGATGGTTAGCTTTTGCATTCTTTTAGCGTGCTAGCTATGCTAACATGTCGACTGCCACTGTCCAAGCTTCAATGTTATGGTCACTGATGTGCTAGCTAAGTTAACTAGTGCTAAATTTCAAACAAAGTAAATAATGTGATGCTAGTGGTTATATTTTGGTTAAGTTCACTTTGTAAAAATTTTTGTTGTTGTTCACATGATTGGGGTGATACTGATGGCTAATATTAGGCACCTGTTTGCCCAGTGTTGGAGAGAGGAATAATGGGTTATTATGTGTTTTTGTTCACATCAATGTCACTTTTTCTGGTAAATGGACTGGTACTTGCATAGCACTTTTCTACTCAAACTGATCAGTCAAAGTGTTTTTTACTACAAGTCACATTTACCCAATTACACACATATACAAGCAATGTTCCCTCTAAGCTGCACACGTGTGCAATTGCGCACAGAAAATCTGCGTTGCGCACACAAAAAAAAACTAACCTGAATTGAAATTAAAATTAATACTTTAACAATTCTGTTTTGCAGTGTTAGTCAGTAAGTGACTGGCTGCTCCCGTATGGGATTAGAACAATGCCACCTTATCCCATAGTCCAGCTAATAATGCGATTCACATTCGTATATACGCAGCTAATCAACGTCCTTGACAGGCTATGACAGCGTCCTTATGTGCAGACACCGGTGTTTTAGCTAGCAAAGCGGCGTGGCTGATGTGGAGTGAAGCCACGTTAATCACAACATATACAACCATTGGAGATGTGAGCAAGACAGACGGAACAATTGACGGAAAAAGTGTGGGCTTTATACCAGATTTTATATTGCGTTGATAGGCCACGTAAAACCGGAGTTATAATAAAAATATATGCAATGTTTGGTTTTCTTCCTGAATACTATCGTTGTTTATATTTACTGTGAGAAGAAACGGTAAAAACTGTGTTTTATAAAGAAAACCTCAAAAGCGCTGCGCTCTCCGCCTTTGAGCAAAAACAAAACCAAAAAACCCCCACCCTTTCCTATTGGTCGAAAAATGTACCATGTCGACCAATCAAAAAATGATATGGCAACATGGCATTTATTGTTTAGGAAGGGGGAAGTTTTAGGAGTGACGGCAGTGTCTTGAGATGTGAGAGATTTTCGACGTTTAGTGCAAATGTTGTGTAGTTAGTGTGTAGTGTAGTCAATAGTTTTGTTGTGTGTGTCAGAACAATGAGGTGACTGCTGAATGTTACAGGTGTTACAGGAGTGATACATCTCCTGTTGTCAGGCCTGCAGGTATCAGGCTGTTGTTCTCCTTTATCTCATAGTGGACAGAAATTGTTTTTTGGAGTGGCACAAATAATTTGTGTGGCATCAAATTTTATGCAGAACACCTGATTGTTCTGTAAATAGTTTGAAATGTTTATTTAAAAATAACGCCTTGGCTGCATTTTTGAAGAAGTAACTATATAATTAATTGCCCAACATTGGTCATTATATTCTGTATTTTGTAGACAGAGAGTTACAGGACTCTCTCCCAGACCACAGACTCATACCTATAACACAAGTCAGAGCTTTTTTTTTTTTTTTTTTTTTTTTTTTTTTAAAAAAGAAAGTTGTGTTTTCAAATTTGGAGTTCAAGTTTTTACTTCCAATAGTGTTAACATACTACACAGGTCATGAACAAGATTTTTTTTAATTTTCATTGTAAGTGGGCTAAAGCAGTTAATTAAAAGTAGTCTAACATAAATGTAAATGCTGTAATTTGATTATTTTAATAAACCATGTAACTTGGATGGATTCGATGCTGGCGTGACCACAGTGCACACGTCTGCTGTTGCTCACAGTGGTCCAAGGGACCGCTCAGGGAGTTTGTGTGTTCGCTCAGACACATGAAAAATTAGAGGGAACATTGTATACAAGCACTTTTTTCTATACCTCACATTCACGTGCACATTCATGGATGCATCAGGGGGATCTCAGGCTTCAGTATCCCAAGGATACTTCAACGATGTATAACGACCTCCAGACTGATAGACAACCCTCTCATGCTCACATTTGAGTGAAGCCAGATTGAAGCTCTTGGGGAGGTCATCTCTCTCCTTTTCAGTACTAATTTTGTTGACCGGTAACTTTCCTTGCACAGTTTTTGCAAACAACCTGACAAAAACAACATGATAATCGAATAAAAACAAGTGCGCAAAAACTATGATGAAATATCTTGATGCTTTTATCATTGAACAATGAAAATGAAAATATTCTTGAGAGAATAGATCCAGTCAGAGCTAATTAAGTTTTGGAGAAAGGCAGGACAAGTTTGAAAGTGATCCAATCAAGTGCAAACAAAACTTTATATTTTAGTCAACCGATTCAACTTTAGTCTGCTATAATATTATGGTAATAATTTGACTAAAACTAGAGTAAGTATGAAATAATTTAGATGCCTAAATTATGACTAAAGCTATATTATGTTTTAGTCAAAAGACTGTGATTAAACTAGATGTTATTTCAACATGTTTCATTTATTCCTTCTTTTTTGAGAGGAGGGATGGAGGTAAGACCATTCAAGGATTACTGCTACCCTGTGCCACACGTTTATGCACGCCTCTGCTCCACCCACTGTTAAAAGTAAGAGAGTTGTATTGAAGAGGAAGAACTTGGAGCTTTCCCTCAACGGGTAAGCAAAGTCTACCTTTTCATGCTCTCTGTATTAAGTTCACACTGGAAGTATGGCCGTCTATAAGGACGAAAGCCAGGACGACGGACCAGAATGCCCGGTGTGTTACGAGTATCTTTCTGGGACCGAACGAACTTTAAGCTGCGGACATGTTTTCTGCCACGATTGTCTCGTCAAAACGCTGGTGACCATCAACAGCGATGGAAATATCAGAAACACGATCGTCTGCCCGATCTGCCGACATCTTACATTCATCGAAAAACAAAAAGCGCTGAACTCACTCGAAGCCGATAATGATCCGAAAGAGCGGCAGACCCTGAAGGTGCCTCTCCCTTTGCCGGTGGGACAGCAGCAGAGCGCACGGCGCGCCTCGGGAGACAGTTTACGGAGTGAAGTTTACTGTATCACTCGCTGCTTTAGAGGCTTTTCTCAGCGAGCTCGCCGACAGAAGGGGATCAGCCCCTGCCAAAAGGGATCCCAGATATTCATCATAAGCGCCCAAGGGCGACCTATGACTGAAGGAGATGCGCCCGGTGTTGTAATATCTGTGGCTCGCCCCCAGCGCAGGCGTAGGATTTGCACGACAACGGGATGGTTGTTCTGTCTGCTGTCTTTGTTTGTTTTACTCGCAGTGACAGCTTCGATTTTTCCCTGGATTGTACTGATGTAGCCCAGCGATCCGCATGCCTCGGTCAAAGTATTGAGTAATTTACTGACATTTAAAGAAAGACACGCGTTTGGCTGTATTCAGTGTCCAGAATTACTGAAAATGGAGTGATGTGCTTTAGTTGGAGTGAGGATTTTTAAGATGTTATCAGTTTCCTTCCTTGATTCTTTGGAAAAGTTTATACACGTGACTTGTCCTTTACTGAGAATTGCCAAGCAAGTGTTTGTCTTAGGAAGCCTCAAACTGTAAAACCTTTTGTTCTGCAATCTTGTCTGACGTGTTCAACCTGCTGGAGAACCACATATCACAGCCCATAGATGGTAAATCCAATAAAAGTGGACACAGTAACGTCACTGAACTGTTAAAAAGCTGAAGAAAACAATCACTTTGCTGTTAGAGCTGCTAACTTTAGTTGTGTTACCCTGTTTGTTGTTCAACACCCTGTTTCCAAGCAGCAGCAAATACCTTTGTGCCCCATGCCAAGGGGCACATTCAACCTCGATCTCAGGATTGTTTAGTTTGTCTGCATTTGTCCAAAAAAGAAAGTCAAAAGGGTACATTTAATATGAACTTGACCTTGGTTTATTTATTTTTGCAGACAAAATGAGATGATAGAACTTAAAAAACACACATACTTGCAAATGATATATTAAAAATATACACTAAGTTTAACATTAAACGTTTGAGCAAATTGTTAAAACACTTGTATATGACAGTGCAGGTGGAGCCTCATGACAAATGCAAAGACTCATTTTGACAATGAGCTGTGCAGTTATCACCACCATACTGGGAAACCCGTACACTCCTAGTTTCTGTCAGTCTCTGGGTTGGTTGTCTTGCTGAGCCAGTCCTACAAGTTACAACCTGCAGAGGGTTTTTCCTTTCAGATATATTTGTCTTCATAATGGTAATATTAAAAAGTATTAGGTTATCTTTTAGATAATATACCCTGTTACTGGATTCCATATTGATAGATGGCCCCACATTGAGAATACATTTGTGATTATACAAGAGCACAAGAGAAATAGCCTCGAATTATTGACAGCAAAAAGTGAACATGTTCATACTGTGTGTGTTTTTTAGACATAGAATATTTACATAAATTAAACCATTTGAGAGGAGAACTGTGTATATGTGTCTTTTTCTCTTTAATTATCAAAGATTATCAAAGTGAAACTGCAGCATCTGTTATATGATTATTGTAGAAACATCTTTGAATGCTCTGAGCTACAATATCGGC